GAGCGCGTGCAAGCTTGAGCAGAATAGCAGAGCAGGGGTGGATGTGGGGGGCGGGGAGGGGAGGAATTCCAAGCAGCGGGATCTCCAGTCTCACAGTGTAGGGCCTGATGTGGGGCTTGAACTCCCAAACAGTGAGATCATGACCTGAGCCACAATCAAGGGTTGGACGCTTAACAGACTGAGCCACCGAGGTGCCCCTTATATTGCTTTTTAAAATACAGTTTATAGGGGAACCCGGCTGGCTGGCTCAGTTGGTAGTGAGTGCATGCAACTCTTGACCTCAGGGTTGTGAGTTCAAACCCTACGGTGAGCATTAAGCCCAATAAAATATAGTTTATTTATATTACATAAAAAGATAATACTAACAGAAAAATATGGAACAGTGAAGTGGATAAGCAGTAAGAATTTTATAATATTCATAGTTAGCTCACAGAAGGAGAAAAGAAAGCCTAAGCTACATTTAAATTATACACACTTTATGGGGTGCCTGGCTGGCTCCGTCGAAAGAGCATGTAACTCTTGATCTTGTGCTCATGAGTTCAAGCTCCACATTGGGAGTAGAGATTATTTAAATATTAAAAAAATAAAAATGTAAGTAAATAAATTATACACACTTTAGAGATTTCCAAAGAAAAAGTACAGAAAAAAAGTATACAAACCTGTCATATTTTTGGGTCCATGATTCTTCTATATTTTTAAATCTATTCTGATCAAATTCTATTTCCCATTGCAAGGCATTTATTTCCTATAGAAAGAAAATAGGACTTTTCATGGAAAATTACTACAAATAAATCATTTCAGGACATTGTAAATAGCTGAAATAAATCATTTAATCATTTAACAGAAATAGGTTAAAGAGAAACTAATTATTGTTCAAAAAGAGTTTATGACGTTTAAAAACACGTACAACATGCCTCTTTAGCACTCAAGAAGAGCTTTGCCAAAGCTTACTTACTATGAGAAAAATTTCACATTGTTTAGCTTCAAAATTTGCTTCTCAGAACCTAGATTCCTCATCACCCCTACCCCCAACCTATACAGACCCAGAAGCAAAATCCATTCCTGGGAGTGTGAGCCCAGGACAGTCCCATCGAGGGAGGGTTCAGGAGGAACAGAACAAGACCTTCCAAGGTGACTCCTTACTACTATTTTCATGACAATGAGGTGGTCAGAAAGAGGCAGGCTCTGCCAAGCAAGCAGAGAAGGAGCAAAAGAAAAGAAAATTTATAGTAAGTGTCAAGCTTCCTACTACCTTAAAATGAGGAAATAAAAGAAATCTTAATTGTTTGCCCATGTAATAATATGTTTTGGATTATAAGTTCCAAAAGGGACGGGACTATATAAAAAAGCACAACAAACAGACATCCATTAGTCTTGTGGTTTTTAAAGGAAATGCTATTTGAAAGCTTGGTAGTTTGAACAAGTCTACACTAAAAGTGGCAAATACCTTCTCCAAGGATCTCTTTTGTTCCATAGTTTTTTGAAGCATCACTTGAGTATGACTTGTGGCTTTGCCAAATATTGCCTAAGAAAAATAAAAATCATACCAGTATACATTAAATTTCTCATCACTCCTTTATGCACAGTAAGGTTCACATTTTTATTCTAAGACTAGAAAACCAGAGAATTTCCACAGAGACCACCTTTTATGGAGAATTTGATAGTTCAAAAGTCAGCAGATCTTCGCTTGGCTCTCCTGATGAATAGAGTGAATGAATGAATGAACTTTCCACACAAAGACTGGTACATGAACAAATAGAGCAGTGTTACTCATAACAGCCCCAAAGAGGAAACAATGTAAGTGCCCATTAACTGGTGAATGGATACACAAAATATGGTATATCTACACAGTGGAATATTAGTAGGCAATAAAAAGGAAGAAAGTACTGACACGTGCTACACCATGCAGGAGCCTCAAAAACATGTTAACTAAAAGAATCCAGACACATGTCGTATCATTCCATTCATATGAAATAGAAAAGACAAATCCAAAAGACAGTAAGATGACTGGTTGTCTAAGGTTGGGGATGGGAATGGGGAGGGACTGCTAATGGATTAGAGGTTCCTTCTGGGGAATACTGGGGAAATGTTCTAGAATTAGACTGGTTAGTCTAATTAGAGATGGTTATCCAACTCCAGTAAGGATAAATTGTATGCTGAAAACAAGTGAAAATTTATGGTATATAAATTTTACCTCAGTAAAAGTTTTAAAAAAATCTACGCCTTCAAAAAAGCTATTTTAAGCACAGGCGCTTTTGTTTTAAAAGATAAAACCATACTACCTAAAAATTTAAAAATAACTTCTTACCATGCTTTGAAGAATTTTCAGTGCTTCTTCTTTACCCTCAAGTTGTCTCTGAGACGCCTCAAGTTCAGTTTTTAAAATTTCTACCTCCTAAGGAGAGAAGTAAGATTAGTCTACCCATCTGCAAGATGTGCAACCCCAAATGTGGATAGTTTACATGTAAGCTCAGTGTGCACTGACTCTGAGCACTTTGACCTTATAAAAGAGGTTTGAAATTCCTCCACTGTTCATAAGTTGCCCAGGCAGGCTTTACACTGAGACTCTTACTATCCAGTTGTAACTAAAAGTCCAAATCTTTTGCTTTTATCCTTCTAGACCACACAGCTAATAATCTGAAAAAAATCTTTAGAGCACAAAAATAAGCACATGAACATCCACAAAGCTATAGTAGCTATTATCGGTTGAACTGTCCTCCCCACCAAGTAAAGATATGCCCAAATCCTAACTCCTGGTACTATGAATGTGACCTTATTTGGAGACAGGGTTTTTGCAGATATAATCAGATTAAGATGAGGTCATACTGGATTATATAGGCCTCAATCCAATGACTGGTGTCCTAAGACGAGGGAAATGTGGGCACAGACACAAAGGGGAGAAGGCCACGTGACAGTAGAGGCAGAGACTGGAGTGAAGTGACTATGAGCCATGGAATGCCAAGATTGTCAGGGGCAACCTCCAGAAGCTAGGAAGAGGCAAAGAAGGATTCTCCTCTAGACCTTCCAGAGGGAACATGGCCAGCTGGCATCTTGATTTCAGATTGCTAGCCTCTAGAACTGAGAACAAATCTCTGTTGTTTTAGCCACCTATTTGTGGTGCTTTGTTACAGCAGCCCTAGAAAACGAAAATGGTAGCTTTCACCAGAAGTCACTCACACACACACACACACACACACACACACACACACACTAAGATGGGCTTCCTCCTTCCCAAAAGACAGGCACCCCGCATAGAAATTCCTACTGCCAGCAGGGCCTCAGAGCACCAAGAATACTTTCTGGTCTTCTGATTTCAAAGAGGTTAAAATAAGTCAGCTTATTTCAAGCCTCACGCACAGGGAAGACAGATGGAAGGAAGTTTATAACTGTTCTCTCCAGGAGCAGATTAGAGAAGTCATGAAAGATTAGGGGTGAGAGGTGAATTGGAGGGCATGTTTACGTAAAAAGCTTTCTTGAGAGATGAGGATAAGAAACAGGAGGCCAGTTGAAAGTTATGAGCTTTACATTGTGGCTCATGCAGAATATGTGGAAAGCCAACATTGCCTTCCATACAATTTTAGCATTACTTAAAATATCCATCAGTGGGCTATATTCTCATGAGAATTTTTTTTTAATGTTTATTTAGTTTTGAGAGAATGTGTGAGAGGGGCAGAGAGAGAAGGAGACACAGAATCCAACACAAGCTCCAGGCTCTGAGCTGTCAGCACAGAGCCTGACGCAGGGCTTGAACTCATGAACTGTGAGATGATTACCTGAGCCGAAGTCAGACACTTAACTGACTGAGCCACCCAAGTGCCTCATGAGAGTTTTTATAGAAGCCACAGGACTTACCTCTAAAGTATCATGAAGACGTTGCTTTAATTCGACATTTGACAATTCTGAATTAGAATCTATTAAGGGGGAAAAAAAACACTTCAATACATTCTTTAACTAGTTGAATACAGCACATCTGTTTATAAAATATCAAATGCAGCTTTGTGCCAAGAGGAAAGAACTGTAACAAACCAAATAATGGTAAAAATAGGTAGCTTAAAACATTTCACAAATGAAAAGACACATACTTTTGAATAAAAAGACTTTTAAAAAAGGAGTCTCTACTAAACTGTTGTTAACGAATTGGTTAATTATTACATGCAAAACAGTACTTAAAAACATGAATGTTGGTGAGTGAAATAAATTTTGGTGTTTGGCTTAAGTTTGATCAATACAGTGATATGAATATCTAAGAAGTAACCTGAATTTAATTTCTTTCCAAGGAGAATGACTAGAAGTCTCCTGTAACTTCAATTATTCTCTCCTTAATGTGATCAATTGACACATTAAACTGAGCTTCCCAGGAGCTTCATTTTCATTGTGGTCTCACTGGCAATAGAAAAACATTAAAGTGGTAAATTGCAAGCAAGAAGATTAAGAAGAAGTAAAAGGAAGAAAAGATTTTTTAGAAAGAGTATTTTGAGGGACATTAAAAACTTCTCGAAACAATTTTTTTCTTTGCTGTTCTGAACTTTCACTATGGCGGTTTCCAACGCAAAACCTAAATCTTGGTTTTACTCTGATGACGGGCTCCAAGGAGGGACAAGTGACACTGGTTTGGCAATGACATGTTGCGTTGTAGTAATCCTTGTGGTAGGCAGAGCAAGGGCCCTAAAGATGCCCACATCTTAATCCCCAGAACCTGGACAGACATGGCAAAAGGGACTTTTCGGTGTAATTAAATTAAGGACTGGATTAAATTAATTACCTGGATTATCCAGGTGACCCCACTGTACTCACAAGGGTCCTTATAAGTGAAACAGGGAGGCAGGAGAGTCAGTGTCAGGGTGAAGCAGTATGAGAAAGACTTGAACAGCCAATGCTGCCTTTGAAGATGGAGGATGGCGGCCATGGGCCAAGGAATGCAGGCGAGCTCTAGAAGCTGGAAAAGGCACAGGAATGGATTCTCCCCTAGAGTCTCCAGAAGGAATGCAGCCTTGCCAACAACTTGGTTTTAGCCCAGTAAAACCCATTTTGGACTTCTGACCTATAGAACTGTAAGATAATAAATTTGTGTTAAAATTTTTAAGGCATTAAATTTGTGGTGACTTGGAAATGACCTATTAGCAATAAGAAACCAATACAATATTGTTACCTAGGACCGGGCTAATTTGAGATAAAAGTCTGTAACCCAACAACACAGGAGCTCATACTTTTACTGTTACATATTTATATCCCAGTGGTTTCCTCATATTTTTATAAAGGTATTTTAGCATCATGTACTGTTTTCAACATCTTGCTTGCAAAGCAGAACCCATCCTCTATACATGATGAGGAATTAAAAGAATAATATATAAATAATCCCATGCTAATTTCAAGAAGGATTCTGAAAGATGGTGATAAAATCCCCATCTGCTACATGCTTTTGGCAAATCTAAAACCATGTTTCTTACATTATTTTCATGTTGTTCTAATTTGTATCTGTTCCACTCTAGTGGGGGAAGTTTTACTACATGGATTACAAAAGATTCAGCCAGATAAAAGCTGTGCCACCATGTAGGCATGGAGTCACCCCTGGACTCCCAGCCATTTTGGAGTTGTAATATTCTATCACAATGTGATTCTGAATTTTGTTCTTTCCTTAATAAATGGCATAATTGATTTTGGGTTATGATAAATTATGATTCATTTTTTGAGGGGCACCTGACTGGCTCAGTCAATGGAGTATGCAACGCTTGACTTCAGGGTTAGGAGTTCAAGCCCCACATTGGGTATAAAAGTTACTTTTAAAAAAGATTAATTTTTAGAGGGAGGATTTCATGACATTCCTAAAATAACCAGAAGCATACATGTTCTGCCTGGAATACTCCTTCCCCAGATAAGTACCAGGCTTGGGCATCAGTTCACTCCAGTGTTCAAAAGCCACCTCCTTAGAGAGGTGACCCTGGCCTGATCCTTGCCTGAAATAGCATGCCCCGACCCCTCCAGATACTCACTATGCCTGCATTTAACTACTGGGAGATTTATTTTTTCTCTCCTCTACTAGAATGTGAACGGTCACATGGAGACTATTTTGTTCACTAATGTTGTTCCCAGAGCCTAGAACTGCCCCTGGCACCTAACAGGTGCCAAATAAATACTTGAATAAGAAAAAAAATACTTGAATAAGAAAAAAAAAAAAAGATAACGCACACCACTAAATCACACACCCACAAAAGCAAGGTAGGTAATCACTGATATCACTAACATATCTGTATTAATGCAGAATAACTACTGTAGTTCACAATTTGTGCAATACTTGGAAATGAAAACATGAGTTACTTTTGTACTATCACCAATCCCAAGAGGTGAATAAAGATGAATTCTCAAAATCCACTACAGTGACCTATTGTCATGTGTTGCAAGGGTGAAGGCACTGATGAAATCCACAGGGGAGAAGAAGGAAGGAGAGGGATCGAGGCATTTTTACCAGTGCTACTTTGTCGTCTGTGGTGGGAAGTGCTGGACTCTTCAGGGTGTGTATCTTGGGAGCTCTTATGCCTGGAATACTGAAAAATGGCACCACTTCTTTCTTCCCTCGTTCCTGGAAAGGGGGGAGGGCTAAAGTTCTTTCCATCCGATCTTTTTCTAGATGTAGACAGATGTGAAACTTGCACTTCATAAATACTGCTGGGCCTTCTCCCGAGGCCATACCCTAAGTCGCCTTCTGCCATGTCATCGTCCTCGGTTTCCCAGGTCGGCACCTCTGCCTCACTCGGCGGCCTCACCACCCTGCTCATCAGCCAGATGCCGTATTTAACATAAGGAAAAACAGGGTATCTGTGGTTAAGAGAAACAATTTAAAAACCATCAGTATAATAAAGTTGGGGTTTCGAGGGGAGAAAAGTTTCTTTCTCTATTATACAGGCACGACTATCCCAGTGATGCATCAGCACACAAACATCTCTTGCAATCCGGTTCAAGATGTTTAACATTTAAGGACTTTTTAGGTAGGAAATGATCAGCCTCTTATTTCAAAGACTGCAGTGAATTGTAAGGAAGCAGGAAAACCTTTTACTGAATCCAGTAATCTACTGATCAGGATAAAGCAAATCAGACTTTGCCAAGGAAAGAGAAAGGGTTTGGTTTTCACCAGCCTAGGAGCTACGTGAAATTCAGGGAATCCCTGCAAAACGGAACTTGCAGGGAGTACATAGAGCACCCTGCCCCTGTCCCTTCATGGCCTTGCGTGCACTTCAGGTGCTCATGGCTCTTATAGCCTGTCCTATAGCCCTCTGTACTATGGGAACATCTTCTGTTTTTCTGCAGACACAGCAGGGTTTTTGTACCTGAGACGATGATAGGTGGGAAGGAAGTTCCCCCTCTCTTTCTTTATCAGACTGTGTGTTCAAGGCCCTCCACTGTTTTCACAACACAGCATAGAAGTCAAAGTCCTTTCGATGGCTTGCCTCTGACTGCATGCCCTCCTAGGCTGGCCACCCTGGCTGGCTTCCCCAGCGTTCCTGGCACAGAGCTGGGGTTCCCTCTGGCTGGAACACTCTTCCCCAGACAGTTGCTCAACTGGTTCCTCACCTCCTATGGGTCTTTCCTTCAGTGACACCTCAGTGACTGATACCAGATCTAAAATCGCAAACTCCTCCTCCTCCTCCTCCTCCCCTGATTTATTTTTCCCCTAGCACTTAGGGCCTTCTAACATACCCCTCCATATTTTACTCATTTTTCAAGTCACACCATGAAAGGCAGGAGGTAGTACAAAAGTGGGAGCCTAGCAAAGCCAAAGGTGATTCTGCCCTGCCTATGATGCCTCTCAAAAGGCCGAGCGACCTAAAACTTTTCCTCTGCCAGAGCCCAAACCTGCTTAAGATGGCCCAAAGTGGAAAGTAAGGTCCATCACTGGGATCATCACTGCATTCCCAATGCTGAAAACAGTATCTGAGACGTAATCAGAGCTCAATAAATACTTTTTAAATAAGGTGAATGAAGGAATAAACAAATTCCCTTCCTGTAGGCCAGAAAAATAGTCACCTCGGCAAGACTCCAACCTGAATACTGGGAAGCTAACTGCCTGCCCTTCTTCCCAGAGGAAAACATTCCAGATAAAAATGCCTTACAGAGAAATTACCACCACTGAGCCCTCCCCATGTGGAGACGAAGGACCACTGTAGGCACCTACCTGTTGGCTGCAGAGCACCTTAAATGCTCAGCCTTGTTCTCTTGTACACAGTAGTACAGGAAGAACTTTCACCACCAGGCATTTCAGAATAGCTGTTTTGCTGTAGTTGTTTAGAAATATCTCATCCCTTTCTCAAGATTCATTTTTTATTGTTTTTTTTTTTTCATCTTTATTTTTGAGAGACAGAGCATGAGTTGGGAAGGGACAGAGAGGGAGGGAGACAAAGAATCTGAAGCAGGCTCCAGGTTCTGAGCTGTCAGCACAGAGCCCTGACACAGGGCTCGAACTCACGAATTGTGAGATCATGACCTGAGCCGAAGTCAGACACTTAACAGACTCAGCCACCCAGGTGCCCCAAGATTCATTAAAAAATAAATAAATAAATACATAAATACATACATACATACATCTGACATCTCTTCTAAATATATCCTGCTATTTAAATAATTGCTTACCAGGACTTTAAAAAAATAATTAAATCTTAAACTTGCATTTTTTAGTGAGATGTTTCTCTTATTCTTCCACTATTAAAACCACACAAATGGGGCACCTTGGTGGCTCAGTCGTCTAAGCCTCCAACTCTTGATTCTGCCTCACGGTTTGTGAGATTGAGCCCTGCATCAGGCTCTGTGCTGACAGTGTGGAGCCTGCTTGGGATTCTTTCTCCCTCTCTCTCTGCCCCTTCCATGTGCTCTCATGAGCTCTCTCTCAAAACAAACAAACAAATAAACAAACTTAACCACCCCTCTCCCCCTACACACACATAGTTGAAGAGGTTTCTGTTGTTTTTAGGGTTTAAAGTACCATATTCTTTCAGTATTTGAAAGCCAAGGCCCTTAAAGATTGGAAGACATAACATCATAAAAGAAGGTAAATGGATAGAAAGACATTCAACATCAGTAGCTGTCAGGGGATTGTAGATTTAAACTACAATGACAGTCTGTTACATACCAGTGTCAATTCTAAGTATTGCTGCGGATATAGACATACATAGTAGGCAGGAGTATAAAATGGTACAGCCACTGTGGAAAATTTTGGTAGTTTCTTTTAAACAAGTGATCCAGGGAAATGAAAACATATGTTCACACAAAGATGTATGGATGACTGTTCACAGCATTACTCAAATGGGCTCCAAACTGGAAACAACCCAGATGTACAACAGAAAAACAAATTGTTAAGTCCATACAACAGAATATATTCAGCAATAATGAATTTCTAATACATGTAACAACGTGGATGAGTCTGAGAGACATTATGCTAACACAGGAAGCCCATCCTGTGTGAAATCCTGGCGAAACTAATGTATAACGGACAACGGATCAGTGGTTGCCTAGGGTGGAAGGCTGACTGCAGAGTGCAGGAAGGAACTTTTGGGAGGTGGTAGAAAAGTCTTGGTTTTGACTTGTTTTTTTTTTTTGTGTTTAAACACAAAAAATAAGGGACCTTTAACTGCATTAGGGGACAAGATGAGAACTGTGTTGATCAATTGTATCCTCCTAGATAAGCAAATTATTAAACTGGATGCTCTAAATCAGCAAGAATTTCTTTTTCAATGATATAATAATAGCACTTGTTGCTTCTTTTCTGTGTGCTAGGCACTATTTTAATGTTTTTCTTAGATTATTCCATTTAATCTTCACCTTTCAAGACAATAGTGTTATTAAATATAGACGATTAGCTAACGAGAGGTTGAACCAGATTCTGAATCCTGACTCCTAATGTCAGAGACACTGTGATACTCTTAGCTACTGCTTTCTGTTACTGGAAGAATCTGAATGAGCGTTACATCAGAATAAACCACGTTTCTACCATTTATGACATCAAACAGTACTAAAAGTAAAAATCTTTTTTCCCCCAAATTTTTATAAAATCATCTTTGTTCCTTTACAAGTTTATTTCCTAAATAAGTAAGTTTTTCTATTTTTATTCATCAAGATAGACAGGAAATAATCCCTAAGGAGCTATGTTTTACCTCTAATGCAAACTCCTGCTTATAAATGCACTCTCACACCTTTGTTAAGGAGGGTATGCTCAGGGCTAGGCAGCCAGCAGTGGAGAAAATGGAATTGGTCAACACAAAGGAAAAAAGTAGTAAGAGGAAAGAGTAAGCAATCACAGGATTAGCTAAGAATATGTATGTAATTTTTTGGAAAGGTCATCTGAGCTTTATTGTACATCAATGGTCCGTCCTGGAGCCTGCATCTTAGCATTCCTGGGGATGGTGGTCTTGGCGCCAGCCCCAACCCCAAACCCAAATGCCCCAGCCCTGCCCAGCTCCCAATCCAGTGCTGGGTTAGCATGCTTTGGGAGTAGGGAGGGGTGGGGTGACCAGAATTCTTGTCCACAAAGCCCAGGTGGGGCTCGGTCCTGGGACCCTGGGCTCCTAGGAGGTGGGACAGGGTGGGCTCTTGGGATAGGAGAGCCCCCAATCCTCTGGAGCCCAGATCCTGGCCTACATAGGGGCCCAGCCTGCTGAGTGGGGCCTGGCCTGGAAGATTCTACAGGTTGTCTGTTGGAGCAGCCGTGGATGAGAGCATGGCACTCACTCCAGCTCATTCTCCGGTGCAGGCCTGTCTCATCTACTTGCCTGGGGTCACAGCCCCCATGGCTGTCCCTGCCCGGCAGCATGTGTTGCAGGCATCACCTGGGCCTTGGGTAGCAGCAGGCTCTGGTGGCTGGGCTGTGTGGCTAAGAATATTTTTTAATGTGCCACATAAATTCAGGTATCATGGTCTGGTCTTTCTAGCCTTTCTGCTATTCACAGTTAACATAATGAGCTTTCCCATGATCCAATACTCTTACTGTTTTAAAAAATGTAACTTTGGGAACTGGTGGCTGTATACTCTCCCCTTTTTTATATACTTAACATTAATAAACCAAACGACTTTCAGAACACATTTCTTCTAAGAAAGGGAAAATGTTAGAAGTTACTAATGTTCCACTCAGCCAGTTTTAAATATATTCAATGTTGACAACCAGGGAGGCCCAGCAGGATGTGTGACAGAGAAGGCTCTGACTCAGGAGGTCTGAGTTCAAATTTCACTCCACCACGTGCTGCTCTGTGATCTCGGGCAAGTCATTTAACTTCTCAGAGCGTGTTTTCCAATCTCCAAAATGAGTTTAAGCATTACTACTTTATAGGGTTATTTTGGGAACCACTGATATGATATATTTCAAGTCAATGTTTATTGACTTAGAGTTTGGGAGTGTTAGTCCCATTGTTAAATGGGAGGATTGGACAAGATGTTTTGGTTCTTTAGGACTCTAAAATTATGGTTCTGGATCATCTTTTCCCAGTGTGTGCCCCATGGGACACTAGTTCTTTGGACTATTAAGTGTTGCTAGGAATAAAAGGGTCCTTCTGGTTTTATTTTTCTATGCTAGTAAAAGCTATGCATGACTGGCCCAAAATTACACAGGTAGTGGAAGAGCCAGAACTAGAAGCCATATCTCTGGCTCCTGGCCCGGTGTTCTGGTCGCTTGGGAAAGGCCACAGGATGAACCAATTACAGACAGTGAGCAATCTTCCTACTTCTGCACTAAAACAACTCTCTGAAAAGGGACCACTGACTTCCTAATTGCTAAATCCAAGATCTAGTCTTGCTC